ATAAGTTGAGACCTAGAGCGGACCAAGAACTGAGCGATCAGCAGTCATGTAATTACTCAGTTCTCATGCTTAAAGTTGGCAGGGGGACAGCTGCAGACTGTGGGTCTGTTTTTTTTTTCTTGTTTTCCGCGCTTCTCCTTTAAAGTAGACATCCATTCAAGAGAATTCCTGCTTATAACCATCCTCCAATTACCAATGCAAATGATTCGATTTACCAAAGTGTGAATTAAGGTGATGTGAAGTGAAACAAATACAAAACGATTTTCAGGGAAAAAAGAAATAAAAAAAAATAATATGACTGATGATGCCAAGAAACTTTTATTTAAGGATAGGGATCATATAAAGTCATTTATTATCACATAGTCGTTTGGCTCCTTTTTAAATCATAACAGAAATCCCCCAACTGACCAAAAGTTCACATACCCTGGAACGTTTGGCCTTGGTACAGATGCACAAGGTGACACATGGGTTAAAATGGCAAATAAAGGTTAATTTCCCGCATCTGTGGCTTTTTAAATTGCAATTAGTGTATAAATAGTCAATTAGTTCATTAGCTCAAATGTGGATGCATTGAGCAGGCTAGATACTGAGCCATGGGAAGCAAAAAAGAACTGTCAAAAGACCAGCGTAACAAGGTAATGGAACTTTATAAAGATGGAAAAAAGATAAAGCTTTGAATATGCCAGCCAGTACTGTTCAAACTCTTGGCATGATGTCATATTTTCAATATAAATGCCATAATTTTTGCCAGGGTATGAAAACGTTTGAGCACAACTGTGTGTGTGTGTATATATATATATATATATATATATATATATATACACACACACATACATATTTATATAAATTCTACCTATGACTGGTGATTGGTTTTGTACTGTAGTAAATCAGAAAGCTACCATACACTTGTCTGCCAAACAGCAGCTGCATCCAATCAGATGCAGTCACTTTTGTGGTATTCTGACAGTCCAAATGGCAGTTGTCAGAATATAATAGCCTGGCAGGGGGATTTGTCCATCTATACTGTCTGTGCGAATGGAGGAATATGTTAGATTTTTTTTTTTCACAGGTGAAACCAAATAAATCTAGTCGTGTATGGCCAGCTTATGTGTCAAACTCATATTACAGAGTGGGAATCTCCGGCACGAAACAGGTTTAAAATCACCCAAAGGTTTGCAGTACCTGGCTTAAACTGGAGGAATGTTGGAACAAGGTTATGATGTGGGAAGATGTTTACAAAGCACACTAATATTATCCCTTTACACCAACTGTTACATTGCCTTGAAAAAGTATTCATACCCCTTGAAATTTTCCACATTTTGTCATGTTACAACCAAAAACATAAATGTATTTTATTGGTATTTTATGTGATAGACCAACACAAAGTGGCACATAATTGTGAAGTGGAAGGAAAATGATAAATGGTTTTCAACATTTTACAAATAAATCTGTGAAAAGTGTGGCGTGCATTTGTATTCAGCCCCTCGGAGTAAATACTTTGTAGAACCACCTTTCACTGCAATTACAGCTGCAAGTCTTTATGGGGATGTCTCTACCAGCTTTGCACATCTAGAGAGTGACATTTTTGCCCATTCTTCTTTGAAAAATAGCTCAAGCTCTGTCAGATTGAATGGAGAGCGTCTGTGAACAGCAATTTTCAAGTCTTGCCACAGATTCTCAGTTGGATTTAGGTCTGGACTTTTACTGGGTCATTCTAACACATGAATTTGCTTTGATCTAAACCATCCCATTGTAGCTCTGACTGTATGTTTAGGGTCGTTGTCCTGGAAGGTAAACCTCCGCCCCAGTCTCAAGTCTTTTGCAGACTCTAACAGGTTTCTTCTAAGATTGCCCTGTATTTGGCTCCATCCATCTTCCCATCAACTCTGACCAGCTTCCGTGTCCCTGCTGAAGAAAAGCATCCCCACAACATGATGCTGCCACCACCATGTGGACGGCCATGTTTGCAGTGCCATACTCTTTCCATTTTCAGATGATGGATTGAACAGTGCTCCGTGAGATGTTCAAAGCTTGGGATATTTTTTTAATAACCTAACCCTGCTTTAAACCTCTCCACAATTTTATCCCTGACCTGTCTGGTGTGTTCCTTGACCTTCATGATGCCGTTTGTTCACTAATGTTCTCTAACAAACCTCTGAGGGCTTCACAGAACAGCTGTATTTATACTGAGATTAAATTACACACAGATGGACTCTATTTATTAATTAGGTGACTTCTGAAGGCAATTGGTTCCACTAGATTTTAGTTAGGGGCATCAGAGTAAAGGGGGCTGAATACAAATGCATGCCACACATTTCCAATATTTATTTGCAAAAGATTTTGAAAACCATTTATCATTTTCCTTCCACTTTACAATTATGTGCCACTTTGTGTTGGTCTGTCACATAAAATCCCAATAAAATACATTTATGTTTTTGGTTGTAAGATAACAAAATGTGAAAACTTTCAAGGGGTATGAATACTTTTTCAAGGCACTGTATGTGAATCTAATCACATAGATGCTCATTTTACACCTTTGTTGACCAGTGTGGTTGAATAGACTGACCTGCAAGTATAAGAAGACAACTACAGACCAGCAGCTGTTTTTTTCTGAAGCTGTTGAATACATAGCTTGCATTCAGGCCCCATTCAAACACAGGTAAGGTCCATAGCATTGCATTTAACAGACATGCATTAAAGAAGCTCATTTATTTGAATGAGCTTCCTGATGTACCACAACTGACCGAAAATCATACCCGTCGCCTTTTTTTGTATCCCAGCATACCACAGTGCAGATGCATTGTGAAGGTATATTTGGGTACCATTGAAAATAAATGATGTTGAAGCACACCAAATCATGAACTGTAATATGCAATGCGGTGGTGTGAATGGGCCCTTAGGGTTTAACAATCCTCCATGTGACTCCGTATTCATGGCTATGTACTACTGTGCAGACTAAATGCTTCAATGGTATTGTGTTTACTGAGCACTAGCTATGTGTGCCCTGACCTATTTGTGGCTTAAAGCGGTAATAAACCCAATACCAAAAATGTATTATATTGCAGTTTACCAATCATTAGATTTTTAGGCTTTTTTCCTTCTATTTTCACCTGGAGGTCTGGCCATCAACACCCCTCCTGTTTTACAGTGCCCCCACTTTGGATGAATGAGAGACCACTGGGGGGCACATTTGGACAGCAGCATTGTCATGTCTGGGGGGAGTGTTAGATGTACTAACAAATTTAAATACACTAATAAATTGAAGCCAAATTGCAGATCACACTGCAGTTAAACAAAGCATCTACGCAACGCGTAGGGGAGGGGCTCTGATGTCACCACGTACCCAGCGAAAGACGGCGAGTATAGGCTGTGTGCTGCAGACACACAGAGGAGGCTCTCGCTATTATAAGAAGCATGTTATGTTTTATAAAAATGTGAGTGCATCATAGTATTGGGCACCAAATAAAATAATTTTAAAGGATAAGGCACTATATTCCCTTTCTTTTTCACTTCCAAAATGGGGGAGAAATGAGGAGATAAGCGGAAGGACGGAGGAACAAATCCTGCAGAGCAAGGAGGGAGAGATCCTGACAGCTACACCAGCATACAAGCAGTGATCTACCCAGGTGACCTTAGGGGATATCCAACGCCCACCAGACCCTGAAGTATCTAACAACAGAATATAATAGATCACAACCTTTTGACATAAAGATATGTTTGCCTAATATTAGGGTTACATGGAGGTGAGCCCATATGAATGTCATTATTTGGAGCACAGATTGAAACTTAGTTTGGAACACATTAATTATTTATGGGACTGTCACCAATTTATATATTCACACAAAGATTTAATTATATATATATATATATATATATATATATATATATATATATATATATATATATAGTTTTTGCAATTATTTAATATGGCACGGTGGATTAAGTTCATTAATTTATAAATCACATTTAAGTTTTTATAATTTTTTCATCTGGCACAGTTGAATATATATTTATAGTTAGATTTTAATTGTCCAGCAGGAGATTGTTTTGGATATATCACCCGAAATTTGGTGCGCGGCACTTTTAGTTTTTAAACATAGCTACAGTAACAGTGTTTTATTTTCTGTTGGGATAAAGATTTTACGTGAATAAATAAAAATGGATCATTCTAAGCACTGCTGTCAGTGATAAATGGTTTGTTTCAACACTCTAAACTGCTACTTCTGCAGGACAGCTTTTTCTTTTGAAAAACAGACTTACCGGCTGGATCACCAGATTTAAAAAAAGAAAGCCTATTTAAAGAAACTAATGCAGCCATCACATCTAAGAATTGGTAAACTGCAATTTAATAAATGTTTGTTTTTGATTTTAATACCACTGTAAAATCATAGCAATATAATGTAAACTGAGAATCTCCTTAATTTTAGACTCAGACATATGCGACCACAAAGAGCAAAGTAGCGTTTATGTATAGTTAAAGAATTAAACTAAAAATTCATCTTATATTAAAGATATAGCAATAAAAATGCAACATGGCATGTAAGATTCCATTAGAGATTTAATTTACAACACAAATACTGCTTTTTATATAGATACAATATAATACAGCTGTTCAGTAACTGCTGGTGTTTATTCTGGCTTGTAAACTGAATGGCATGCTTTTTCATTTTTTTTCTTAGAATTTGTTTTAATAAAATGGCCTCTATTGAAACGGCTCCAAAGTATAAAATCATGCAATCTCTACATCCTATAGGATACAACCAATATAAGATATGAAGCCAGCATCCTACAAACAGCCAGTACTCCCACTGTGGGATCTTCTCATCTTGCCAAAAGCCGTCCACCAAAATGTTCTAAGGCAGAAATCAGACAGTGGCATTTTCCATGTCCTTATGTCCAGGTGACTGCTGCACGCACACTCTCAGTTGTTGGCGGAAAACAGTCTTCATTATCTAAATGAAATGGCAAAAGCTTCACTAGTCCTTTGCAAAAGTTCATAGTTAAAGGGCTTTGCGTTTCTCGCTCGTCACTAATGGTCTTGCATACTCCACAAAATCATCTATAAGAACAGGCCATGCCCCTGGAAGACAAATTAGCACAACTGAATTATTCACAGCACTAAATATTACTAAATATTCTAATAAAGACATGCCATTAAAACGTGAAGGCTCCAGGGCTGTCATCTTAACCCTGGCTACACAATTTAGGAAATCATTGATCGGAAAGAAGGGCTTCATGCTTGTTTTAGGTCAGTGACACAAGAAGTAGTGAACCCAGATTCAGGATAATGGTCCTGAAACTCTTTAACCGCCTCCCGCCCGCCATATAAGGAAATTACGGACTGGCGGTGGTTCTCTCATTCTGGGAGGATGTCATAGGACGTCCTCCCACTCTACCTGTGCGTGTGCGCCCCCAGGGGTGCACAGCGCTGCGATCGGTGGTGCTGTGTCCCTGGGACACAGCAGATCACCATTCAGCGGAAAGATGACGATGACTTCGGCTCTCTCATGTGATCAGCTGTGTCCAATCACAGCTGATCGCATGTAAATAAGGAAATACCGGTTATTGGCATTCCTCTCCAGAGCTGTCATGCTGACAACGCGTGAGGAAAGGAGAGCCGCTAATCGGCATTCCTCAGAGGGGACAGCTACACTGATCATCAGGGCACTGATGATCAGTGCCATGATGATCAGTGTAGCCTCATCAATGCCACCTGTCAGTGCCCATCAGTGCACATCAATGACACATATCAGTGCCTACCAGTGCACATCAATGCCACATATCAGTGCCTGACTGATCTGAGCTGACTTTCAGTGCCAACTATCAGTGCCAGCCAGAGCCACCTATCAGTGTCAGTCAGTGCCGTGTATGAGTGCTGCCAAGCAGTGCCACCTATCAGTGCTGCCTATCAGTGCCGTATATGAGTACTGCCTTTCAGTGCTCAACAGTGAAGTCTGTCAATGCCCACCAGTGATGCCTGTCAATGCCCATCAGTGCCACCTACCAGTGCCTCCTCATCAGTGCTGCCCATAAGTGCCCATCAGTGCAGCCTATCAGTGCCCATCAGTGCAGCCTCATTAGCGCACATCAGTGAAGGAGAAAAATTACTCATTTACAAAATTTTATAACAGAAACTAAGAAAAAAACTTTTTTTTTTTTTTAATTTTCAGTTGTTTTTGGTTTGTTTAGCAAAAAAAAAAAAACCCAGTGGTGATTAAATACCACCAAAAGAAAGCTCTGTTTCAAAAAAATGAAATAATTTAATATGAGTACAGTGTTGCATGACCACGCAATTGTTATTCAAAGTACGACAGCGCTGAAAGCTGAAAATTAGCCTGGACAGGAAGGGGGTGAAAGTGCCTGATAAGCAAGTGATTAAAGGGTCGGTTCACACTATAGAAAGGCAATCCAGATGTGTTCCGGATGCGTTTCTGTATGTGCTTTTTGTATGCATTTTTGACACATTCCAGTGCGTATTTGATGCGTTTTTGATGTGTTCCAGTGCATTTTTATGCATTCCAGTTAATTTTTTCCACCTCTCTTTTTCTTTAATTTAAATAGAGACATATCAATTCCACAGTGTGTTTTTGGGGCGTTCCAGTGCATTCTGGTGCAGTTTTTATACGTTTTACCAAGTTCCAGTACAGTTCTGTGCAGAAAAAATGCAGCATGTTCTACTTTTTTTTCTGCAACCACAATGCACTGGAAATGCAAGCACTGATGTGTACTATGACACTGACAACTATATAACCTACTTTCTGTGCATTTTGGATGCATAACAAAAACAACTGAAACGCATGTAGTGTGAACTGGCCCTAAATGCACATGCTTTGCAAAAGCCATTCAGCAATGGAAGCCCACGTATCTACAACCTCACAGTTTCACTTTAAAAGTAACCTGTGCTGGGAAATTGCAGATGACGGCACTGTTACTCAAGTACTGGTTGTCTGGCAGTCATGGTGATCCACTGATTCCAGTAGTTTATCACTGAGTCAGAACAAGTGAATTTTGAACTGCAAAATTGTACTGGGCTAGTATGTTAAAAAAATTAAATCCACAAGATCAGAATGATAACAACCAATTTAGAAGAATCCACAAACTAGATGGGAATATATGTCATTCCAACACTGTTACAAAGGCTATACCTTCTTCATCATAGTTGGACATGTCATCTGCAATCATATTTCCAAAATCCAACAGGAGGTTCCAGGTATCCTTTGGGATGGATCTTTTATGATGTTCCTGAAACAAATAAAGAAAACTAAATATTCACTCTACCACACACTTTACAATGGCAGAAAAGCCAACTAAACTTTATCACACCTGCAACTATTCACAGAGCAGAAAACCAAAAATGTAACCAAAATCTGTATTTATTACAGTTGTCCAGAAGTGAGAACAACTGAAATATAGCCTTGTCTAGAAGAAGGAGCATGACAAATATATGCAGGTATGTGACTCTTACATTTAATGTCATCAATTGCACAATATATATAGGTGACATACAGCAGGAACTCTTGTTGGCATAGCTGTCACAATAGTCAGATTACATGGCACTAAACATAGCATAATGTAGATCTAGCACCCAATAGTATACAGTACATCCAATTACTTATTAGTGGAGCAAAAGAAGTTTTATAGAGAGTCAGAGCTTTTTATAGGGATTAATCAAGATTTCTTTTTTCTTTTTAAGCCTTTTTTCTGCTCATTTTTGTTGGTCAGGTGATCTTCCAAGAGTCCTAGCTCATAGTGATCAAGAAAGAAAGAACACAAAAATATGTGAATATGGAAAAAATGGGAAGGGGGTTGGGGTAGTGTTCTGAGCAGACATCATGCTCACAGAGGAACAAGGGAGTGGAACTGGATACCACCAAAATCTGTCTGAAAAAATATGTCATGGTTTTCTTTACAGGTTGGGGGAGGAGAAATGAGAAAAGGTAACTATTTTTTAGGTAAAGGTCTGCTTTTAGACTTATGAACACAGGCATTTAAGCTGAAAGGCCAATACACATGAATACATTCCAAAAAGCCCTTTGCTTTAGAACAGGGGTCTCCAAGCATTTGAAACAAAGGGCCAGAGTTCTGCTCTTAAAAATTAGGGGGGCTGGACTGTGGCCAGCAGGAGTAGAAAATGCCTTGGCATTGGTGGCCAATGGTAATAAAAAAATTACAATATTGGTGTCAGTGGGAGGAATAGTGTCCTATCAGTGGGAGGAATAGTGCCCCTTCATTGGTGTCAGTGGGAGGAATAGTGCCCCATCATTGGTGTCAGTGGGAGGAATAGTACCCCATCATTGGTGTCAGTGGGAGGAATAGTGCTCCTTCATTGGTGTCAGTGGGAAGAATAGTGCTCCATCATTGGTGTCAGTGGGAGGAATAGTGCTCCATCAGTGGGAGGAATAGTGCCCCATCATTGGTGTCAGTGGGAGGAACAGTGCCCCATCATTGATGTCAGTGGCAGGAATAGTGCCCCATCATTGGTGTCAGTGGGAGGAATAGTGCCCCTTCACTGGTGTCAGTGGGAAGAATAGTGCCCCTTCTTTGGTGTCAGTGGGAGGAACAGTGCTCCATCAGTGGGAGGAATAGTGCCCCATCATTGGTGTCAGTGGGAAGCATAGTGCGCCATCAATAGGAGGAATAGTGCCCGATCAGTGGTGTCTGTGGAAGGACTAGGGCCTCATATCAGTGGAAGGAATAGTGCAAGGGCCGGATAAAGGCAAGCAATGGGCCACATACGGCAGTTTGGAGACCCTGCTTTAGAGTATCAACATGTGTATAATTTCCCATAAAAACACTAAATATAACAGGATACCTAACTATAACTAAGTAAAACTTTTTTTTTAATGCTAAATACATGTACAAGACCAGGGATGGATGGAAGTAACACATTTTGCAACCTAAAATCTTAATATATACAGTTCCTTTCTATTATATGATGCATGGCTCCCCATACATGTCAGTGGCAGTGTGCTCTGCAGAACACTTATGATATTAAAAGACATTTCATACATTAGGCAAACTCACAGACTGCAATGCCCCTCTCCTTTCTCCCTGCAAGTTATTATTATTATTATTATTATACAGTATTTATAAAGCGCCAATAGTTCGCTCAGCGCTGTACATTATAAAGGGGGACAGACCATGTGACAGAACAATACCAATACAATGCAAAACATGAGGGGATCGAGGGCCCTGCTCTTTCAAGCTTACAATCTAGGAGGGAGGGGATAGTGGTACAGGAGGAGATAGCTGTGGGGGATGGAGTGGTAGGAAGAGTGGAGGAGGTCGGCAGGTTAGCAGGGGGTGGGGTAGGCTTCCCTGAAGAGATGGGTTTTCAGGGTGCGCCTAAAGGAGAGGAGAGTAGGTGATAATCTGATGGGTTGGGGCAGGGAGTTCCAGAGGATGGGTTTATGATTATGAAAAGCTCCTTCCATTAAGAAAAAGTGTGATAATTCTATTGCCTGTTTGTAGGAACTAAACTAAAGAGGCTTTTGTTCTTGTGTAATAATAAATACAGTATGGGGTAGATTTACTAAAACTGTAGCTCTCTTGTAGCTGTACATTGTAGCCTATCAGCTTCTAACTGCAGCTTGATCAATTAAGCTTCGACAATAAAACCTGGAATGTGATTGGCTTCTATGCAGAGCTGCATCAGATTTAGCACTCTCCAGTTTTAGTAAATCAACCTCAATGTGTCATCAACAAGGTAGTGACATTTTTTCTTTCCAGATTATTCAGCTGAAAGAAGCTAATGCTGAAGACTGTCTTTGTTCTGATGATTCATAGTGTTGAGTCAGATACCAGTCTGCAGGCAGATTTCATCTCATTTGATTAACAAATATTAGGCAGCAGCTACAACCACTACGCAAAATATATCACATGAAATGTATGCCATGCTGTATATAGCAGTGTTGTTGTAAAATGAATTAAACATGAGGAGATTCTATATTCTGAGGTATGCACATTTTATGCAAATAAAATACTTACCAACAAAAACTTATTCCACAGATCTAAAAATTTGAATCTTCCAGACAATACTAAATTCCAGTATGCAATTGCCATATCCAAATCTAAAACATAACAGATATAATAATATAGAAGTTAAAATATAATATTAAAATTCTAGGGGGGAATCTATCCCATATCTCCATTTACTGTTCACTTTTCTCATGAATGTTCTGGTCCATTGAAATATAGAAATGCAAAGCGCATCTTATGTCAAATCAGGGGCTATAGTTACATGCTGCAATGTGTCAGACTACCACTTGATTCATCAACAAGGAATGATGTCAGGAGTCACTGTGTTATAACTTTTACATAGGGGTAGTTAAAGTATATGGGGATTTGGATAGCATGGGAAATAGTTAAGACCCAAGAGCCCTGCAATGCAGATCCCAGCATCTGCCCAGTATTTCTAGGGTCCCATATAACAACACGACCCTTGCAGCCCACAGAGAGCGGGTGTAATCTGTCTTTAAATCATAGATAAGTGTTCACAACCTGAGAGTAGTAAATAAACCCATACCTACCTAACCCTTTTTGTCCAGGATTTTTTGCAAAATTAAATGTAAACTGATAGAAGTCTTTAAATTTAAGAGGATCTTTCAACTCCTGTTCAAGCCGGGGTAACTGAGCCCTCAGTTTTTCTGTGCTGTCACACCTAAAATATACATTTATAAACAAATATTCGATATAAAAAAGTAACAAACATCAGATTAACTAACAACACATGGCACTAATGAAATGCAAGTGGTGCAAAGTAAATGTGCAGTAGGTAGGAGGGTAGTCAAAAGTATTCCAGCATTTCTATAGTTGTGTAAGCTACCTGATCATTCATGCCATCCAACTGTAAATCCGGCCATAGGTGGATCGAATTTCGCCCTATTCAGCAAGGATCCATCTATGGGCAGGCTGGTTGAAACAAAGTCGATCCATCTTAGGTACAACTAGCCTGTCAGATTTTGTACATGCGACTACTGCAGGTGGCTATAGGAGCCAGCAGTAATCATTGTGTTCTGACAGGCGGGAAGGCTCCCCACTGGCAGAACACAAAAGCGCTGCAGTTGGAAGGAAAGGATATTGCATAATTTATGGCCTGCTTAAGTTGAACTGGGAGCATGCACACCTAAAAGCATGGCTTTTCTAATGTTATTCTGTATGGAGAAAGTTCAAGTCTACAAGCAACTTTATTAGGCAGCAGAAATGTCCTTCAACATCAGGACCCTTGATAATTGAAGCACAGCTCCCAAAATGGGGAAGGAAGGAAGCAAGAAAGAAGGAAGGAAGGAAGGAAGGAAGTGAATGTGTTCTGAAAGTGCATTTATTCTCAAAATAAAGAACAGCAAGCAAGTTAATAAAAGTATTCTTTAGATAAAGAAGAATTCCAGGTGTTTTTTTTACATAGTTACGTTGATCCAGCTTGGACCAATGTAACTATGTATGTGCTATGCCTCTGGGATCCTTCTAAAAGCTGGAAATCAAGGTAGTAGACTCCGCTACTTCACTGATCTCTGCTAAATTCCAAGTCCTGTGTTGAGTGGCTACCCTGCTGCATTCTGAATAGAGAAGGTTAGCTGCTCAACACAGGTGCAATTCAGAGAATGCTTTGCATTTTCCCAGTGAATACAAAGCATTTTCTGATTGGACGACGTGGAGAGTGGGACATCACCACCCCTCCAGGTTATCCAATCATAGAATGCTTTGCATTCATTGAAAAAACACAAAGCATTCTCTTAATGGCACCTATGCTGAGTGGAAACCTCCTGTGTTCAGAATGCAGCAGGACAGCTGCTTGGCATGGAACCCGAAAGCAAGTGGAAATCACAGGAGTAATGGTATCTACTATAGTGATTTCCAACTTCCTCTGGAATCCCACAGGTATGGTATATGCATAGTTACATGGATTCAAGCTGGACCAATGTAACTATTTTAATATATCCATACCTGGAATTATTCATTTTGTTAAACATATATTTCTTCAAAAAATTTTTTTCATAAAACACACAAACATATATTTCTTTGAAAATTATTTTTCAGTTCAGGTATAATATAATTATCTGATAACTGCTAGGTGAAAGATATAAGAAGAATTTCAAACATACATAAATAGTATTTAATGCTGCTGTGTGATATTTAAAAGGGAATGCATTTTCCATACCAGTAGAAAAGCATCTGTCATCCCTTACACAGCAGTCTGGACGAGGGAGGGCAAGTACAGCAGTTAACCAGGCTCTGCTGTGTGCACATGTGCTCAAAGATAACACAACACTATGAGGAAAGAACGGGTTTCAGTGTGTTACTGCACCTTCATTATCTAATCAGCTGGCGGTGGGAAGGGCGGTGCAGGGGTGTGGAAAATTTTGAAAAAACTACTTGTCCAGGGACTAAATTGGGGCCCCAATCTAAAATTTTTTTTTAACCAAAACCGTATTAAATTGGAAGTAATTTTAGGAATGTCTGAGGCTTTTAAAAACAAAAGAGGCTTTATGGCGACTTAAACGTGTAATATTTTTAACATTGCGCGGTTTATCTCCTCCCTGCCTGTCTCCAGCACTGCACCCAGGGACTAGCAGGGAGGAGAGACCTTGCAGAGTGATGAACAACGATTGGCTGCTCATCAGGAAAGAGTGGGGCAGGGCTTATACTTTATCCCTTTCGCTGCCAGAGCCGTTTTTGCGTTTTTTGCACACATTTAAAAAATCATTTTAGGCCTGAAGATTACACACAATTCCCAAACATTATATACTTTCTGAAAGCAGAGACCCTAGAGAATAAAATAGTGGTAGTTCCAATTTTTAATGTTGCATAATTTTACCGCAACATTTTAGTAAGTAATACAAGTTAATTTTAGGACACAAAAAAGCAATAAATTACCCTATTTTTTTGTAAAATATAAAAGATGAGGTTGTAGCGAGTAGATATCCGACTTGTAAAACCTTAAATTTTGTGCGCGCTCCTGAGATGGCGATGAACTTTAGTACCCTATATTTTCTATAGGTCAACACTTTTAAAGCTCCTTATAGGTCACCAGTTTAGTGTTATGGAGGAGGTCTGGTACTAGAATTATTGCTCTCATCTTAGCATGCGCAGTGATATGTGACATGTGTATCGCAATCGATGGTTTTATGTGTAGGCGCGCCAGCGTGTGCTTTTACACCTGTACATGCATATATGTGGGGACCGCAATATTTGTTTTGGGGGGGGGGGGGGAATGGTATAAGCTTGGGTGTAACTCAGTTTTTACATTAAAATGAAAAAACTTTTTTTTTTTCATCACATAGGGGAAAAGTCTCCCATGTGATGATTTTTGGTGACATGCAGGGTCTTTTAGACCATGGATGTCTCAAAGAGAACCTGTCTCCCTTCTGCTCCACTGCATGTAATGTGGTGCACATCGCACCATATTACATTCTTTCCTGGGGATTGCATTACAATCTCTCAATGGGGACCCGGAAGTGACATCGTAATGTCATTTCCAGGTCAGCACAAGAAGGGGAGGGGAGCGGACATGTCCGCTCTTCTCCTTCCTCTCTAGCCGACGGGGAGCCGGGCTCGCAGCTGGGCAAGGGGAGCCTGGGAAAACTCACGCCTGGGGAGCGGAAAGCCTGGCACTGTGTGAAAGCAATCGGCGGCAGTGCTGCCGCCGATTGCTTAACCTGACAGGTGAGCCCACTGCTTGCCCGCAGCAGGGCAAAAGGAAGAGAAACACTACCTGCCCGGAACTACGTGTCCCGGGCGTCGGGCGATAGGAATCAAACATCTCTGCGGTGTTACCACTGTATTCTTTAAGGCCTAGGTTTAGCTAAAATCAAAAATGGAAAATTCAACACAAGGGACCTAGCATACAGTTAGTATGATGTCTCCCGTTTGCTGATTCTTTTTCTTTAAGAAGAAATCTTCCTTCATCCAATGCCCCATCAATCCCCCCCACACCCCACCAAAATCTTCTGGTGAGACGGGCATTATTACAACTATAGGGCTGTCAGGAGCTCTCTCCTCAAGAGAGCCTGACTATGCCCACCCTTTACTGCCATATCCACCATTCAGAGAAGCTGTACTACAGCTTCTATGAATGACACAGGGTTTGTGAATGGGAACAGGTGGGTGATTGATAAATCTGCCCCCTCCATTCACAGATTTTATGTTATTCATAGGAGTTGTAATATGGATTCTATGAATGGTGGATCTGGCAGGAAAGGGCAGGTATAGTCAGAGCTCCTATTGGCCCTTACCTGTATTAATCCCCTGCCGTACCAGAAGATTACAGCGATGAAGGTGGGGGTAGGACAGCGGAAGATTTCTCCTAAAAGAAGAATAAGCACAAGGGACACATCATACTAAGTGTAAGTTATGTCCATTGTGCTGATTTTTTACGTTTTTAATTCTAGCTAAACCTAAACTTTATCAGAGAATGTGGTGTCACTCTTTCGGCTGTGTTGTCTGGCAAAGGGGTATGAACCACACATACTGCTGGACAGAATTACATATGTGTATGTAGGCTGTGTATTTCACTGTGATGAATGAGTTTTCATATATCTGTTCTATAGGTGCAAACATTTTTTATCTCCTCATAAGTTTTAAGAAGAAGGGAAGGTGGTCTGTAGTCCTGTTTTAGGGTGACAACCACATTTCTCCATAGATACACAGAACAGTAAGTGAACATGATTACTGTAAGTGAAAAATTAAAAAATATAGGAACAAGGTTTTGTAAAATGTAAAACTTAAACAAAAATTTCTGAAAACAAAAAATAAAAGTAAAAAAAAAAAAAAATCAAACAAATCCACCATATCTAAGGTAAGCTGTTCTATATAAAATGGATCTTCTTGGGTTTATATACCAATTTAAAGCAGTATTAAACCCCATAACAAACATTTATTATGTTGCAGCTTACCAATACTTAGATGGGATTTCTGCATCAGTTTTCTTTTTAAGGCATCTTTCCTTTATTTTCATCTGGTGATCCAGCCAGGAAGTCTGTTGTTTTTCAACAGAATAAGCTCTCTTCCAGATATATCAGTTTACAGTGATGAGAAAAACCAATTAACACTGGCAAGTGTGCTTACAATGATCACCTTTTATTTATACCTGTAAAACTCTTATCCTAAAAGGAAAGAACTAGTTTTCTGTAACCGATTAGAACATCTAAGCTGGAGTTTGGCCTCAATTTGTTCATGTATCTAAATCTGCTTGTACACCTAACACTCCCCTCTGCTCAGACTGATAATGCTGCTATCCAAAGGTGCCCCTGTGCTCATTGGTGGGGGCAGTCTAATACAGGTGTGTTATTACCCAGATCACTAGCTGAAAACAGAAGGAATAAAACCTAAAAGAAAAAACTAATGCAGCTATCACATTAAAGTATTGGTGAGCTGCAATGTATTACATTTTTGGTTGTGGGTTTAATATCACTTTAACAAAACAAAATTTCTTCTAATTTACAAAAAAACAAAGAACTAATCACTTCTGCAATTATATGTAGTGAATATTTCACTAGATTATTCTTAACTATTAAAAAGACAAGAAACACAAGTTGCTTATTTTTGCTAACACTTTAAATGCTGCAGCACAAGGTGATTCCAAACTATGGTTATTGTTGCTGGGTGGATTATGGGCATACGTACCCAAGCTCTGTCATGCCATCAATAAACTCCTTTTTACTAAATTCACATTGTGTAGCTGCTCGGAACTTCCATGCGATGACTAATACACTGGTACTGGCTGGATCCAAATGTAAATCATCACAGAACAACTGGATTCCATCTATTCCTATTTTATTTTCATCTTGTGGATCTGCAATTATGAAAGAGAAACAAAAAAGCACACCATTTTACAGGACGCATTGTATTTTCTGACAATCATCACAGTCAATCCCCGGGTTATATAATACTTGGGTTACGTAAACCTGAATCTGCATAACCCTTTCCTAACCAATGGTTATCCTGGGATTTCCTTTGTAATACGCACGAACTGCAAAGAAAATGTTGGACCCCTAACTAGCTCCTAATCTGTATACTGCTACAAGATCACAGATTTTGTGTCACAAACTGCATATATATATATATAGAAACAGTGAGGAACAGAAGTATTTGAACATCCTGCGATTTTGCAAGTTCTCCCACTTAGAAATCATGGAGGGGTCTGAAATTCACATTGTAGGTGCATTCCCACTCTGAGAGACAGAATTAAAAAAAAAATTCAGGAAATCACATTGTATGATTTTTAAAGAATTTATTTGTCTTGCACTGCTGAACATAAGTATTTGAACACCTAAGAAACAGCAAGAATTCTGGCTCTCAAAGACCTGTTACTGTGCCTTTAAAAAGTCTACCTCTACTCCACTCATTAATCTAACTTAGTAGCACCTGTCTGAGCTTTTTAAAGACACCTGTCCACCCCACAGTCAGTCAGATGCCAACTACTACCATGGGCAAGACCAAAGAGCTGTCAAAAGACACCAGAAACAAAATTGTGGACCTCAACAAGGCTGGAAAGGGCTATGGGGGTAATTGCCAAGCAGCTTGGTGAAAATAGGTCAACTGTTGGAGCAATTGTTAGAAAATGGAAGAGGCTAAAGACGACTGTCAGTGTCCCTCGGACTGGGGCTCCATGCAAGATCTCACCTTGTGGGGTATCACTGATAAGAAAGGTGAGGAATCAGCCCAGAACTATAAGGGAGGAGCTGGTCAATGACATGAAGAGAGCTGGGACCACAGTTTCAAAGGTCACGGTCCGTAGAACACTATGCCGTCATGGTTTCAAATCATGCATTGCACGGAAGGTTCCCCTGCTCAAGTCATCACATGTCCAGGCCCATCTGAAGATTGCCAATGACCATCTGGATGATCCAGAGGAGGCATGGAAGAAAGTCATGTGGTCAGATGAGACCAAAGTAAAACTTTTTTGGTCTAAACTTCACTCATTGTGTTTGCAGGAAAAAGAAGGATGAGTTGCATCTCAAGAACACCATCCCTACTGTGAAGCATGGGGTGGTAACATCATGCTTTGGGGGTGCTTTTCTGTGAAGGGGACAGGACGACTGCACTGTATTAAGGAGAGGATGCCATTATTGTGACATTTTGAGCAACAACCTCCTTCCCTCAGTCACAGCATTGAAGATGGGTCGTGGCTGGGACTTCCAACATGACAATTACCCGAAGCACACAGCCAGGATAACCAAGGAGTGGCTCCGTAAGAAGCATATCAAGGTTCTGGAGTGACCTAAATCCAATAGAACATATTTGGAGGGAGCTGATACTCCGTGTTGCTCAGCAACAGCCCCGAAATCTGACAGATCTAGAGGAGATCTGTGTGGAGGAGTGGGCCAAAATCCCTGTTGCAGTGTGTGCAAACCTGGTCAAGAACTACAGGAAACGTTTGACCTCTGTAATTGCAAACAAAAGGCTTCTGTACCAAATATTGACACTGATTTTCTCAGGTGTTCAAATACTTATGTTCAGCAGTGCAAGACAAATAAATTCTTTAAAAAATCATACAATGTGATTTCCTGAATTTTTTTTTTTTAATTCTGTCTCTCAGAGTGGGAATGCACCTACAATGTGAATTTCAGACCCCTCCATGATTTCTAAGTGGGAGAACTTGCAAAATCGCAGGGTGTTCAAATACTTCTGTTCCTCATATATATATATATATATATATATTTTTTTTTTTTTTTTTTTTTTTTTCAGGCGCAGTTCTCATGCAGCATTGTGTTTGGGGAGAGAGGACACCTCCTGCAATAAAATGCAGGTAAAAAACATATGTATTTTGCATTTATGCATGCCATGTACAATCTTAAATTCATTTACTGCAGCAAAAAGACTAAAGTGTGAATGGAGACCCAAAGCCAAATCCCCTACTGAAATACTGCATAATCCACTGTAACAGGGTATAGCTGGGTATGCAGTGGGGCAGAATGTGTAAATCACAAGATTATCTGAACAGAATTACAAAAGGTAAAAAGGTACATGTATGCTTTTTGAAGCTCAACACCAGAATCTCATATAAAGGCGTTTTTGATTCTTCAACCTCCACTAATAATGCATTTGGTGATTGAAGCTCATCAACAGCCTGAACTATTTTGTGTTGGACATAGCAGTGTTGGAACCTCCATTGGGTGTTTATTACCATCGTTGGAGAGATTACCCTTTACTTCTTGTCAGGACAGACATGAAGTGGGGAAGGGTTAAAATGTCTGACAAGGTTTTTTTTTTTTTCCTTTTTAGCTATGTTTTTTACTGTCCTCGGTACAGCAACACTCCTAATTTTTTGTAGATGCATCTCAGAAACAAGGTAAGAGCCAGTAACAAAAGGGTGATTTGAAATCTTTCTGGCTCTTTGAAAACCTATAAAATTGTCTACAGCTGGGTTTTATGCCTCAAGCACACCAGGCTTAAAAAAATGCCTCTTTCACTGATGTTTGGTGTTTTTTTTTTCAGCCTGTGTAAGTCTTTAGGTCCATGTACACAAAGGCATTTACAGGTGTATTAGAAGAGGAGCATTTACAGACTTACCCACCCCAAAAAAAAAATGCTAGACACACGTCTAAACATGCCTAAACGCTATACGCATTTAGCGCTTGAGTGTTCATTCCAATGGACAGAATAAATGAATATTGTGGCCATTGGAATCCATAAACGCTCTAATGCATGACACACCTGCATGTGCATTAGGTGGCTTTAGGGCTCATTCACACTAGAATCTGGTGCGGGAGAGCCGTGTTCCCGCGCAGCTTCCCGCACCACATTCCAATCGCAATGCCCCTGCGATCTGCTGCGGGGGTCATTTAGAGTTAACAACAGCCCAAACGAAGACAGGTACAGACTCTCAGTGTATTGGCTCTGAGGAAGAGGTTGAGTCTTCGAAACGCGTTAGCCAGTTGGAAGTCCAGGGTTCCATTTTTGGACTTATATGCAGTGTGGATTGGACACCGCTGTTTAGTGTGATGTGCCTTTGTCCTGTATGTCAATTGTGAGTATGATACTTACTTTTTTTATCCTTTAAATAAATATTTTTTACGATAATGCACTAGGCCGGTGCGCCCTCTGTTTGTTTTCTTTGTATCCATGCACTGCATTTGCCCGCACCGGCACGCACCAAACCGCATGGTACAAAGTACCATGCGATGTAGTTGCCGTGCGTTTTAAAAAAAAGCACAGCGTGTTCCTGTGCGAGTCAGATCATGGCATAGTGTGAACCGAACCTTTCGCTGCTTTTTCCTGCCAACAGTAAAAGTTGTCCAGAGGAAAAATTCAAATGCCCAGTGTGCATGAGGCCTTAAAATGTATAAAGAAAAGTCAATGGCAGTATTCTTTACCTTCTAGTTAAAAAGAGCCCCCCCCCCCCCCAGCGATACAACACAGACACCTGATAGTGTTGTTTTCTGCTAGTATGGGGGCAAGTACAGTCCACTGAATCCCATCATAGGCAGAGAGTTGGGCGACCAGCATTGCTGTACATATCAGCACTAAACCGCCAAGAGGACAGCAGGTTTGAAGGCATACAGATGACAAGCTGGTACAAGTCAGCTTTCTTTTAACAGAGTAACTCAGCTTGCCTATGTGGGTTTAGGACTGTCATTTATTAAACAAAAATGCCTGGAATCTGCTCTGTATTTAGTTATTTGCCTGGAGTTCCTTGCATAGCATAATTAACAGTACTACAAAATGACAACGGCATGACACATGAGCAAGGAATCCTGACGACTACCAGGTCTTAAACCAGTGCAAAAGTATCTGATAATGAATACTTTAAAAAGTGTCACCTTATACTGTGGTACTGCAGAACTAACTCGTGTTACATTAGGGCCTCATGCACATAACAACTGCCCTGGACGGTTTTCTTCTGGCAATGAGAAACACTTGACGCTGGCTAATGCGTGTACCATGTTTACCCGCATCAAGCGCTTGGACGTTTATTTACTTCACTGGCCAAAATAAAAATTTTATTCTGGCCACTGAAATGAAAAAAAAAAAAAACACCCGCCCAAGCACTAAACGCGCCTAGCATTAATACGTGTTTAGCTGCGTAATACAAATATATAAAAATGTGAAGCAACAACAATAAGTGACATAAGGTGTAAACATCATATAAAAATGATAGTGAACATAAACAAATGATCCTGACGAAGTCACGAGGTCACGTGACGCAACGCGTCGACGACATTAGCATGGTGACGTATTTCCGATGTGACACCATCTTGGAACACCTTTTGTTCATGCTCTACACCCAGTTCATTGGAACTACCTTGATACAAGCTACTGTAATGTGAGTTTGCATTTTGGCTTACTTTACATGCCAATAAAGCAGTATTACACTATGGAGATTGTGTTCTCTTCTTGTTATATGGGCATATGAGCGTTTGTGCTATGTAAGAGTACCGATATATCTGCTGACTGGTCCAGTGGAACATTGATACCATGATGACTGCCTGAACCACCTGGTTTTAGGAGCCATTACTCTGAGGGATCCAGAGGGGATCTTTATATGCTTTGTGACCCTGCAGGGTCGCGAAGTGGAGGTGAGAGGCCATTGCAGCCATTTTGGGATCACGTTGATGGTGTGCTGTTACCCACATCTTGCATGATCAGGAGGATTGCAGCACAGAACAATGGACTTATGACACCAATATTTATAATGACCATTTGTTTATGTTCACTATTTTGCACGGTGTATACACCTTTGATCCCTCTATAGGGATTCACCTGTCGTTGACTGTGTCCCAACCCGGGTACCAGGGGTCACAATTTTAATATCCCCATGTGGAGTGGGGTCACCATTGTGTATGTATCACCAGTTATGGCCCACTTTTAGGACCATTGTGATATGATGTTTACACCTTATGTCACTTATTATTATTGTTGTTGCTTCACATTTTAGCGTGTATCAATGGTATATTTGTACTTACTCACTGCACCTATTGGTATAGGATTAGATGCTGGCAGCTCTCTAGTTATTTTATCAGCTTATACATAAGAGCGCAGGAGGATATTTCCGTTTTTACATGTTTAGCTGCGTTTACAGACATTTTTACTGTGTTTGACATTTTTCTGCCAAAACACTCTCTTGAATGCGATTCTTCTGCTTTCAGGAGAGACATTTTACTGCCTCTCAACTCTGCTCCTAAACAAATAATACCACTGCACAGAGCACGCAAATATAACATGTTCGTTAATTTATATTAACCACTTGCCCTCATGAGGATTTACCCCCCTTCCTGACCAGGCCATTTGTTGCATTAAGGCGCTGCGTTACTTTGACAATTGCGCGGTCATGCAACGCTGCACCCTAATGAAATTTACGTCCTTTTTCCCCCCACAAATTGAGCTTTCTTTGGGTGGCATTTGATGCCTGTTCATTTTTTATTTTTTGCACTATTGAAAAAAAAAAAAAAGACTGACAATTTTGAGAAAAAAAAAACTATTATTTTTGACTTTTTGCTATTAGACATGTCCAGTAAAAAAATTTTAATTTTAAAAATCAAATTTTGTCATAAATTTAGTCCAATTTAGTCCAAAATGTATTCTGCTACGTCTTTGCTAAAAAAAAAATCCCAATGCGTGTAAAATAATTGGTTTATGTGAAAGTTATAGCGCTTACAAATGGTGGTATATATACACTAGGATTTTTTTTAATTTTTACTAGTAATGGCAGCAATCAGTGACTTATAGCAGGACTGCGGCGGGCATTCTGACACTGGGGGGAACTGACTTGGCATCATTGACATTCCCAGTGACACCAATACAGTGATCAGTGCTAAAAAAAAAACAAACAAAAAAACCACTGACACTGTACTAATGACACTGGGCAAGAAAGAGTGGGTTAACATGAGGGGCGATCAAAGGTTAACGCTGTGCTGTTTTACATAGTGCTGTGTCCGTGTGCTTAACTGTAAGCACACTGTGTGCATGAGCTGACAGGGAGGAGAACTGTTTTGTTTACAAACAGTTCTCCTCCCCTTTGGAGATGCTCGGCAATCACCGGTCGGGACCTGGTGATTGACAGCGGCACAGGTAGGGCGTGTGCCTCCTACCCGGAAATGCAAAATCACGTATATATACGCGTGATTTTGCACACCCCTGCCGCCCTGTAGCAGTATATCTGCTATAGGATGGTTGGGAAGCGGTAAAAAAAATTGACTTTAGTAACACTTTAATTGAACAAGCTGAAGTTAGAAGCTGATTGGCTACCATGCACACCTGCAACAAATTTTGCACTCTTTAGTAACTCTACCCCATAGGCTTTTATTGATTTGAAGCCAAATGCTCCAAGGCCAAATTGTAAAGTGCTGCGATCACATTCAGATTCTGTGCAATGTACAGAATAAAAAGCTAGCTGAGACTAGTATACATGCACAGATTTTTCCATTGATACTAAACAGCATGGGTGGAGGAATCTTCTCTACTGACTTTTGTATCCAGACACCCACGGCTGTTTGAATACCTGAACAGTGACTGCATCTGATAGAATGCAGTCGCTGCTGTTCATCTGACACTTTTCTACAGATTCCTTCTATTTTCCAATCGAAAATAGCAGAGATAGCTGTTGCCAACTGAGCTACACACATCTTGAATTTTGAATGATTCAGCAGGAATATCGCCTTTGAATTTGCAGAAAATAACTTGTTTTTTTTTACTCAGGATCTTTCTGCCAGTAAGATCCGCCATACAAACATCAAGAAATGATTATGGCCCCTTTCACATGGGCATCATCGGTTCAGTCATGTTTTCGCTAAAGCTGGCCATAGAACTGGCAGAGATTCTAACTATGTTTGGGTAAGCTGAATGTATCCAAGTTGATCGATCGACCACCTTGGGTACAACCAGCCTGCTGGATTTTACATGTGATTATTGCTAGCGGCTATTATAGTCACTAGCAGTAACCTCTGTGTTCTCCCGGCAGGGATGGCACTCCCCACTGGGTGAACACCATGGCTCCTTGGGAGAGATTCCCCTGTGTTGATCGGGGAATCAAGCCATTTTTCTTTCCTGCAACCCGTGGTCGCAGGATAAAAAAAAAAAAAAAAAAAAAAAAAAATCGCTCCATCTATGGCTTGCTTAAGAAAAAAAAAAAACTCAGTTGACATCAGCTTAAATAAGTTAACATCCATCTTACATTTAGTTCTATTTATATTTGTTCTTCATCTATTAACATCGCTTTTTTGACCACTTCTGTTTTTTAAATGAAACAAAAATGCAGACTTGTTCCGTTTAAAAAAAAAAAAAAAAGGAGTGTGGTAAAAAAGACGAATCTAAATGGACGAAGTCCGTTTATATCCGTTTGCCTATAGGAATGCATTGCTGTCCGTTTTTCATTGACCAACAAATGGATGAAAAAAAAGACAGATGGAGCGCCTGTGTGAAAGAAGCCTATGTCTGTGTGTGCAAGAGGCATAAAGTGAACAGGATTTCTCCGGCTAGTTGAACATATTACAAAGGAAATCCTGGACCTATCAGTGTCATGGTTATGGATCCATACTTTAATGGTAGACAAAGACTTTCTGTATTTCAGTTTAGAGTGGATAACAGCAGGTTCTCAGTCTTCCCAGAATGCCTCTTATTTAACTTCATGATCCTCTTTTACTTGCCATTGTAATAGTTGTAGAAGGTATCCTGATACTGAGTTTAGGTAATCCAACCTACTGCTTTCCATCCAAAACTGAAATGTCAGGAATAAGATATAGATCACAAGTCTAGATTTTATTTATACATTTTACAAATCTAATGACCAGCGATCACTTCAGATCTACTGTATGAACAAGCTGAAGTTTTAGGAAATCAGGACTGTGACTTCACATATCTTTCCTAATGTACAAGCAAATATTAAGACATACATTTGATTTGGTAACAAGTGAACAGGCTTACTTTAATAACAAAATGCAAGGAGAAAATATGGTCAGTGACCTATGGCATGTGGATAAATGCAGTGAAATATCAAGGTATCTAAAATCTATTCTTAGTAAAGCTACATTTACACCTATTTGTTGTAGGGCATTACCCTGTGAAAAAACAGCTTTCTGCATGTTTGGCCAGTTTCCACCTAGCACATCTTTCATGGGGATGAATGGTGCCACATGTACAATGTGTGTTACGACACAACCCTGCAATCACAACGCATGAAACATGTAAAGGTGTACATGTAGTTAGTCACATTCAGCTAGGCTTGTTTTGTAAAGTTGAATATGTTTTGTAGCTTATCCAAGCCATTTCCTCAGCTCCTAGGGTGTCAGGTAGATACCCCAGCATTTAAATCCAAGCCTTAAGACACTTGTCTTGGACAACTTAAAGCAGAACTTCACCTTAAAAGGGGAAGTTGCACTTTATGCCCCCCCCCCCCCCCCTTCAATATCTACTTTTGGCACTTTTTTGGGAGGAAGCGGGTACCCTCACCCACCTCTGGCAGGATTGCTGCAGCAATCCACCGAACGTTCTCCCCCAACCTTCTGGGACATCACAGGTCCCAGAAGGCTGCGGGACCATACACAAAGTGCAGCGTGGCTCAGGCATGTGTAGGGAGCAGCAGGCTGTGACCCTGCAAGGAATCACAGCAGGCTGCCCACAGTAAACATGCTGGACCCAAAGGCTGGCAAAGAAGTGGTTCGGGTGAGTACAGCACTGAACCCCAGGACAGGTAAGTGTCCTTTTATTAAAAGTCAGCAGCTACAGTGTTAGTAGCTGCTGAATTTTATTTATTTTTCCAAACAGGCTGAAGAACCATTTTAAACACATCCCTGCTCTTGGACAATCAACATCTACACATTCCATGGTGGTTGGATTAAGGTGTCCTGTGTTGTAAATATGGGGTATCTTCCTGAGACTCACTGGAACTGAAGTGGCTTAGATAAGCTACAAAATATCTTCAATGTTACATTACAAATCCAATTGAATGTAACAGACTGCTACTACGTATACCATGACTTGGATAAAAGACATAGGGGTGTGCTTTAAAAAAAAAAAAAAAAAAGCGAAACTGCATTTACATGCATAGCTATTTTCTCTCCAGGTCAGATGTTCTTCATTCACAGGAATTGTGCAAATCAGGAAAATACTGCATTATAGCCACTAGATGGAGCTAGCAACCACAGTAAAGAAACATTTATTTCCTATGATCATCAGCACCATCTAGAGGACATAATGCAGTATTTTTCTGATTCTTATGCTTTTCTTATGAGTTAAAAACTTCCAACTTAAAAATAGCTTAACAATTGATTTTGCTGACATTTGCACAGAACGAATGCACAGGTTCTGTGAATTTTTTTTATTAATACACCCCATAGTGTAAATATAGCTTTGTCATTTAATACTTTAACAGGCATAACACACAGAACTGCACAATCCGTATTAAACAAACATACACATAAAAAAGAAAAAAAAAACATTTGAAGAATCAGATGGTGAAAATAAATGAGGCCTTTCTATCTTACATCCAATTCAGGTACATGAATAGGTACTGGAGCACAAAGCCCTGGGTGCAGCTGATACATTTCAATGGAGTTCCTTACCTTTGTATCGGTTATACAATTGTTCTAGTTTCTTTTTGTCTACTGTACTTTTCATTGACTCTTTGCAGTACAAGGCTGTGTTCTGGAAGTAGTTGTCTGTTGCCAGTTCTAGTTTCCAGTCATTCTGTGTTAAACAGTATATTGCAGTCCTTTCCCCAGCTTGGGTAAATGCCATAAACTGGCGCACCTTGTCCTTCTGAGACGATTTAAGTTTATGCTTTGGGATGCAAAAGAAGCAGCAGAAGTTGTTTGAGCATTGTACTTAGGCTTTTTTTTATTCATTACAAAGATTTAGGTCTCTTGATGTGCGCATGCTTCATTTCAGTATTATGCGTCATATCAGCATAACGCGACAAAGCTTTGTTCTTCTCAGCTTAAACTGCCTTATCTGCAAACTCAAAGGACAGCATCTATATACGTCTATCAAAAACAAACCAGACTTTGGTAAAGCATTATACTACATGTAAAGGCATCGTTACACAGCAAAGCACAACGTTCGCTACTGCTATCCAGTGGAGGAGAGGAATGATGTTCCAATGAACCTCACGGTACTGTTGGGTGTAATAGGTCTCATGCACAAAGGCGAATTAAAAAAATTCCGACCTACGCTGGATCTTTCTGCCACCAGATGGCAGAACAATCAAGCATAAAAAAACACCCGCTGGCTTTGGCGCATAATTATACCTGTTTACAGGCGTATGGCGTTTAGCAGCATATGCGCATAAACTCATTCTACTAACCAGAATATTCATTTATTCAAGCCACATTTACGCACGTGCATACGGAAATTATGTTTACAAGCTCCTCTCCAAACGTAGCTTTGGGGCATTTTTTTTTTAATGCCTCTAAAGGCTGCTCTTCAAATATGTATCTAAACTCCTATTGAGCATGGGCACATAGGCCAACAATGAACTGAGTTTAGAGGCATAAAAAGAAAAATATATGATGGACATCTGTAAAAAGCAGCGTTTTTTTTATGCCCGTGTGCATGAAGTCTAATGCAGGCCATAGACGTTTTGTATATCGGCCGATTTGTAGTCCGAAAAACAAAACATCGGTCGTTCTGTTGCCACCAATGATTGCGAAAATCGTCCGTTTTTTCACAAATTTTCCAGAAAAGAAATGAGGAGGAACCGTGAAAATTGGCTGATGCCATTGCCCCAGTAACAGTATGAAAATCGGCTGATTATGCATTCAGACGAAAAATCGGCCAATAAACGAACTGTCTATGGCCTGCATAAAGCTCCGTCAGAAAAAGTACCCAAAATTTCCAAGAAAAGGCACATTTTGGTATGTATTCCCTGCTACGGATTGGAGATATGTTTCTCCGGGGTGGTTCCAAGGTCCCTGCTTTATGAACTTACCATTGTCATCAGCATGATCCCCAACAAGACATTACCAGCTTACTGATGCAACACCATACAGCCCAATTGAAGTCCAAGTGAAAATGACTAAAAACGCATTTAGGACTCATTCACAAAAACGCAGAGGTCTGTACAGCTTGCAAAAGAGTCATGCTTATGTGACTGGGAGACAGGTGTTTGGTGCAGCATTGGCCAGTAGCCCGTTAAAAATCAATGACAGGCTGACATATGCAGCACTGTACAGATGTTCCCAAACAGCCAAGCCTTTACGTCTGTTCAAGGACAGATGCACAGCCCTGGACAGCCTATCACTGATTTTTTTTAACAGGCTGCTGACTGTGGCTGTATGGAACGCTTGTATCTGCATGCTGTACAAGCCTCTGCAATTGTGTGAATGAGCCCTTCAGTTCCATTAAACAGTAAGTAGTTAAAAGTCTTGGTGTTGGTTTACTTACTAAAGCAGCTTCAGCTCCTTTATTCAGTTCTCTTAGGTCTCATTGCACACAGCATACAACTTGCTGTGTTCAGATTCGTAATTTATACAGATCCGAATGCAGCAGTATTTTATACTATGGGTCCATTCACACTGGTCTTTTTTGGTTCACAATGCTTAGTTGCGTAAACTAAATAGAAACATCTGTGTTCAAAGTCCGTTGCTGACCTTTATCTACACTAAACCTCAAACGTTAACATGCATACAGCGTACAGCAGTGGTTGTCAATTTATGAGCTAAACTGACATTTAAATGCAGCCCCTGACATCACCAAAGGGCTGCACATAATGTTCACTATATGTAATGCTTGAGAGGACTGTCAGACACTGCAGACCTAATAGAGGGCCAGAGAGTGTAGACATGCTACATTCATGACTGGGGATCTGCTGCAGAAGACAATGTGAAACTGCAAACATGTTACACGAGGCTAGTAGAGATCAGTGCTATTACCCTAATCAATGATCCCTCTAAAAACTGCTGGGGTTTGAGGGCTGAACATCATATACTAAAAGGCCACAGGCTGAGTATCAGGGGTGTACAGTGTGAATGGATCTTATGTGCCAACCACCACAGCTCAGGGCTGACATGTAAACATCAATATTATTATTGATTATACATTATTTATATAGCGCCAAAAGGTTGCTCAGCGCTGTACATTATAGTGGGGGACAGTACATGAGACAATACAGTAACAAGACAAAACACGAGGGGTTCGAGGGTCCTACTCTTTCGAGCTTAAATCTCGGAGATAGTGGTGTTGTAATTGGAAAATGCCCTTGGTTGTACTCACTTTGAATGGCCAAAGGCCAAAGTATTTCTGCACCTGCGCCACTGCTGCTACTAACACTCTGTTGTTCATACTTTGTATGTTGGACGTGAAACGATCGTTCATGTAGTGGTGGTGCAAAATAATTTTGTTTTTTCTTGTTCAGAATGGCTTAAGCAGAGGCCATTCGGTGCTTGCGCTGCCACATGAATGACCTACAGTCAGGTCCATAAATATTGGGACATCGACACAATTCTAACATTTTTGGCTCTATACACCACCACAATGGATTTGAAATGAAACGAACAAGATGTGCTTTAACTGCAGACTGTCAGCTTTAATTTGAGGGTATTTACATCCAAATCAGTGGTGAACGGTGTAGGAATTACAACAGTTTGCATATGTGCCTCCCACTTGTTAATGGACCAAAAGTAATGGGACAGAATAATTATAAATCAAACTCACTTTTTAATACTTGGTTGCAAATCCTTTGCAGTCAATTACAGCCTGAAGTCTGGAATGCATAGACATCACCAGACGCTGGGTTTCATCCCTGGTGATGCTCTGCCAGGCCTCTACTGCAACTGTCTTCAGTTCCTGCTTGTTCTTGGGGCATTTTCCCTTCAGTTTTGTCTTCAGCAAGTGAAATGCATGCTCAATCGGATTCAGGTCAGGTGATTGACTTGGCCATTGCATAACATTCCACTTCTTTCCCTTAAAAAACTCTTTGGTTGCTTTTGCAGTATGCTTTGGGTCATTGTCCATCTGCACTGTGAAGCGGCATCCAATGAGTTCTGAAGCATTTGGCTGAATATGAGCAGATAATATTGCCCGAAACACTTCAGAATTCATCCTGCTGCTTTTGTCAGCAGTCACATCATCAATAAATACAAGAGAACCAGTTCCATTGGCAGCCATACATGCCCACGCCATGACACTACCACCACCATGCTTCACTGATGAGGTGGTATGCTTAGGATCATGAGCAGTTCCTTTCCTTCTCCAAACTCTTCTCTTCCCATCACTCTGGTACAAGTTGATCTTGGTCTCATCTGTCCATAGGATGTTGTTCCAGAACTGTGAAGGCTTTTTTAGATGTCGTTTGGCAAACTCTAATCTGGCCTTCCTGTTTTTGAGGCTCACCAATGGTTTACATCTTGCGGTGAACCCTCTCTATTCACTCTGGTGAAGTCTTCTCTTGATTGTTGACTGTGACACACATACACCTACCTCCTGGAGAGTGTTCTTGATCTGGCCAACTGTTGTGAAGGGTGTTTTCTTCACCAGGGAAAGAATTCTTCGGTCATCCACCACAGTTGTTTTCCGTGGTCTTCCGGGTCTTTTTGTGTTGCTGAGCTCACCGGTGCGTTCCTTCTTTTTAAGAATGTTCCAAACAGTTGTTTTGGCCACGCCTAATGTTTTTGCTATCTCTCTGATGGGTTTGTTTTGTTTTTTTCAGCCTAATGATGGCTTGCTTCACTGATAGTGACAGCTCTTTGGATCTCATCTTGAGAGTTGACAGCAACAGATTCCAAATGCAAATAGCACACTTGAAATGAACTCTGGACCTTTTATCTGCTCATTGTAATTGGGATAATGAGGGACTAACACACACTTGGCCATGGGACAGCTGAGAAGCCAATTGTCCCATTACTTTTGGTCCCCTAACAAGTGGGAGGCACATATGCAAACTGTTGTAATTCCTACACCGTTCACCTGATTTGGATGTAAATACCCTCAAATTAAAGCTGACAGTCTGCAGTTAAAGCACATTGTTTTCATTTCAAATCCATTGTGGTGGTGTATAGAGCCAAAAATGTTGGAATTGTGTCGATGTCCCAATATTTATGGACCTGACTGTATGTAAAATTAACGTCAGTGGTGTACAATGAACGCATTTTGCTCATAAAGATATAAGTGCTCGAGTTGAAATTAAATACAGCCCCCTTTTTATGCAGAAACTTTCTACCAGCAGGATCCTGCGTAAATAGTAAGCAGTGGTGTGCACAGTGTTTTTTAGCAGAGGATTACTGGGCTCTGTGTATGAGTGACAGTCTCACATGGTTTGTGCTGGGTCAGAGCTACATCTCTCCAACCAGCGGGGAGTTTGAGCACTGCTAATTGGAGGACAATAGCTCTGATTCCTCAGGGGGTGTACGGGACGTCTAACGGTCCTCAGCTGCAGATGACTGGCGGGGGCAGGCTGATTTAAAAGAGATGCCTTAATAATATACACTATATTACCAAAAGTATTGGGACACCCCTCCAGATCATTGAATTCAGCTGTTCCAATCACCTCCATGGCCAGAGGTGTATAAAATCAAGCACCTAGGCATGCAGACTGCTTCTACAAACATTTGTGAAAGAATGGGTCGCTCTAAGGAGTTCAGTGAATTCAAGCGTGGTACCGTGATAGGTTGCCACCTGTGCAATCAGTACATCCGTGAAATTTTCTTGCTACTAAATATTCCACGGTCAACTGTTAGTGGTATTATAACAAAGTGGAAGCAACTGGGAACAACAGCAAGTCAGCCACAAAGTGGTAGGCCACGTAATATGACAGAGTGGGGTCAGCACATGCTGAAGCACACAGAAGT